GGACGAGAGAAAGGGGCAGAGGAAGAACCCCAGACGCACCATTCTGTGCATGTACTACCCGGAACACGTCCATCAGGCGCTCCTATCCGATAACTCATCGGCCGCGCACGCACTATTAGGATTCGTGATGCACTCCCCGTTGCCATCGAGTCCTTCTAGGTGGTCTTTGCCGTCGATGTAGACGCCGGTCATGTTGCCGTCGTAGGAGAGGGAGGTGAAGGCGCGGTCTGTGGCGTGCTCGATGGTGAAGTGGCCGTTGGCGGGGCTGGGGAAGGGTGAGCGGGGGAGGAGAGGGAGCGCTTGAGAGGGGGGAAAGAGGAATAATGGGGGAGGGAAGGGCAGGAAGACGCACAGGTCGAGGAAATCGCCCTCTGCTGGAGGGAACTCATCACACTGTGCGGGAGTCAGTGTAAGGTGAGGCAGAGACGAGGAGTAGAAATTCTAGTAGAAACGCACCTTGTTGATGTGATGGAACCACCAGTCCTCGAACTTGAGCTGGATGAATGGTCAGCGCAGACGCGTTAAGCGACCAACAGCAACGCACGTTGTACAGCGGGGTCCCTGGCTCGCGGTTATTCGGGTTATCGACGCCGGGTGTAGTGCCATTCAGACACCACATGCCTGTTCTCTTCACTTAGCTCGCTCGCCCGGCGCATAGGCGCGTAGTACCTACTCTTGTGCCAGGCAGCAACATGCGCGACCGCCGGGCGGACGAGAAGGAAGAGGATGGAGGCAAGGATAATTGAAGTGCGCGGCGTGTGGTCCATAGTGTGTGCGTCAGGAGTGGACGAGCATAGGCTGTCAGTCAGTAGCAGGCGAACGAGGATCTGGAGCGGAAGGAGGGAGGAAGCAGCGGATGCCCGGGCCGACTTCGCAACCGACGATCGGGCTCGGCCACGTGAGAGGCGACTCAGCACATCTCATGTTCCGCCCCCGACGCGCCTTGCCTCCGCCCGCGCGTCGTCTCTTCTCCGCTACATGTCTTTTGCACAGGCCAATCTATATGTCGACTATCTTGGACCAGCTGGACGCGCTGGCCGCGCGTCCGACGCCTACCAGTTCGCAGTCAACCTCGTCCGATGTTGAGATCGTGGACTGTGCGCTCCCAGTGGGTAGGTGCGTGCTTGGTCGCTTGGGGTGGTACAAGCCTGCTTATCCATGTGCTCTTAGGTCCGCCGCACCGCTCGCCAATCGCACTGCAAGCATAATCAACAAGTCCCCCGGTGGTACAAAGCGCAAGCGCGCCACCATCCCCGCCGACGATAAAGCCAACAAAGCAAAACCTTGCTCGTCCCCATCTTCCTCTGTCATGTCTTCTGCCACTCCAACACCTGCCCCCGCCGCTGCCACACCTGCATCCGCTGCTCTTGCCACGGCGCCTACGGTGCCACCACAGCCTGCCGCCACTCCACCGCTGCAGCCAGAGCGCTTATACGACTACCGCGACTTCGATCCGCCACCCAGGCTCGTCTACTGCACCACTGCGGAGGAAACTGACCGCGAGGTGGAGACACTGGAAGGGTGCGTGCACCACTGCTATCTACGTCTAGGCGCGTTCACCGTGGCTACCACCAGACGCGCCTTTTCACCCTCACCCCTGGCCTTCTCTCTCAGACTCCTCCCCTCCCGCC